CTCTCACCCTCGCAGCACGTTTGAGGACGACCAGCTCGTGATGGAGCAGACAGGGGAAGAGGAAAGTAGCTCACACCCTCGGAGCTCACAGCCTCGGAGCTACAAATCACTAGGGCCAATTCCTCGCCAAAAAAAGGTTTGGGTTAGAGGAGTTCAGTAGGCGTCAGAAGTCTAACGGCCGTTGTGAGTTCGGGGGAGATCGGACATGGCCCATGTGAGGCAGGGAGCATGAGGAAAGAGTCACCGGCACTGATGGAGTGAAGACACCTGTAGCTGCTGAGTAGCCCGTCGGGTCCCGATTTCTCGTCCCAAGCAGTGCCTGCGAAGATACAAGCGTCATGAACCCTATGGGCTTCTTCGAATACCCAGCCCCTGAGTTCCAGATGGTCGGTGTATTCTTTGACAATTTGTTCGCTGAGACGGTTCCCTTGAAAGAGCCCCACTAGTTCCTTCCGAATGGTGTGTAGCAAGAGTTGCAGACATGCCCGCAATGTTGGATGGGTCAGAACGAGGTGAGCTAGCCCGTTCACCACCTTCTCGTCGTTGCCTGGACTCGTGGTTAGCTGGCCTTGGACTGGAGGAGCGAATGAAATATCTGTCCCCGGTATGGCATCTAAGAACGCCTTGCCGCCAACTATTATTGCGTCGAGAGGAAGGCTCTCATCCATAAACTTCAGACTCCCAAACAGCGCCTCCATATCTGATGTCTTACTCACCCTGCCCTCCTCGATCATCTTCTTCATCGGCTCAAGCACGCGCACCAAGTCCAAACAAAGCCCGTCACAAATCACTGGCACCACCACTCGGGCCAACACTACCGCAACGCCTGCAGACGACCCTGACACCTCAGCAGGTAAGCACTTCATCGTTGAACTATCTATCTCATAATTTTTTTAAAAGAAGGGGGGGACACGACAGGCACCATGGGCTCGCCAGTCACATGACTGCATCATCGAGGCGCGCGATCATAAATCCTTACCACCTCATAGCTGCAAGTACGTAGGCAGCCGTAGCTGAAGTAGCTGCCGACTCCACGTTCATCCAAACTGTACCCCATCCAAACTATACCCAAAAATTCGAACTCAAAAATTGCACACCGGAGGAACATCACATTTGGCATGTTGGGACAAACTATCCATGCGTGAGTGGGTGGCTGATGCTGTGCCTGGTTGGTTGATGCTGTGCCTAAAGAAGAACGGAGAGCTGGCTGTGACGCAGTTACCTCTGCCTATGTAGCATAGAAAAGTGTGGTGGGACTGCAGGCGCAGATTACACAAGTTACACAAGTTAAAAAATTCTCACGCGCTCCCTCCCGCAGGCAGTCTGGCTTCCTGGCGTAACTTCTTCAGGGCTTCCGATATGGCCTTTGCTGAGGTCAGCGGAGCATATTCCGGGATGGGCGACCGCCTGCCCGCTTTGTCGGGACCACGACCAACGGGGTCGTGGCCACGACTAGGGAGGTCGGGACCACGACTAGGGAGGTCGGGACCACGACTACGGCGGTCGGGGCCGCGACTGGCGAGATC